TTCCAGGGCCAGCACTTCGCGGAAGAACTCGAGCTCATCTCCGCCTCGGCCACCACTTCGACTCGCTCACGTTCCATACCCGCAGCTTCCCGTCCCGACACCCGTCACAATCTCTCGCCCTTTCCCTATGATCCCCGCACCGATCACCCCCCGACCATGCGGAGGCCCAAAGGTTCGCGGATTCAGCATCGTCATTCTTTTCCTCGTCGGAGTCCTGCTGTCTTCTTCCTCATTGTCGTCGCTCGGGACTGGATCGATTGAGTATATTCGGGCGGACATGTCGATCGAGGTCGTTAGAATCACCTTCCCACTGGGAAACTAAACAAAAGGAACAGAGTTCTAGAAGTGTCTTAGAACGATTTCTAATTTCCGACTTGGGTTAGGTGAGATGGATTTTGAAAAGAGATGTGTTTGTATCTATCCGGGTTAGTGAAGGAAGCCTACGAATTGACAACTAGTGAGATCAGAGACATGGCCCTTTCCGATCCGACACAAGAGCTCGTCATGGTGGGCGAGAGTGTCTGCAGGCTGTGTGGCCCATCGATCCACGCGTACTTGGCCGTTCTTCCCGCCCGTGACGAGCCACTCTCCGGCGACATCCATGCATTCGATCCCGTTCGGCTGGATCCGTGCGAGTGTCTGGGATGGGAAACTGACTGTGGTGGGCGGGATCGAGAGTGGTTCGCATGTGACTATGAGCGCTAGTTGCTGATTTAATTTATTTCAAGTATTTTTTAACTCAGCTTTCCCCTTCAACTTGATACTAGTTTTTTATAGATGATTACTCGATAAGAGGACTGACTGAGAAAGAAGCATCATCTGCCCAACGACATTCGACCCCATCCCTGCCCTCTAAACTGATAAGATCATTCAAGTTGTTTTGGGTTTGTTGAGGATGATCGAGGACATTGGAGGAGACTCTGACTTTTCCATGGATGCTCCTCCTACTCTCAGTCGTATTCGATGTCGTATTCGATGATGATGAGGATGATCTGTAACAGGAGATCCAGATATCTTCGGCCAGACAGACTTCATTCTAGATAGATAGATAGATAGATAGATCAGTTATTCTGGATTGTGTGATGATGAGTTGAGTGTACATACTTTGATGTCTGAGATGACTTCTGGGAAGTCGTGTTGGATGGTGATCACTGGTAGGTCCGTCAGTCCTGGCTCTGATCCCATGATGATGATGATGGTGGTGTTGTTGGTGGTGGTGGTGGTGGTGTTGGTTGTTGTTGTTTCCCACTATGTAGAGTGTGATCGAGATCGGCTTACGTAAGCTGAATATTATTCAATTTGCGGGGGCTTTAATTCAATTTGACCGGGGGCAGAAACTGGCAGAAACTGGCCATCCGAACTCCCTCTCAACTTCGAATATACTTCACTCTCACGACTAACAACAACAACAACCACTTCAGGAAAAAAAAGAGCTCTGCATATTTACAAGGGTGAGTAAGTTCGATGACTACTTCTTCTTTCTTTCCCTTCATTCGGTTTAATTATAACTGATTCCCAAAAAAAAAAGAAAGAAAGAAAAGATCTGTTGGTGGTTGGACAGTGTGGCCTAGATAATCGATATCTTATTCTACACAATACACACTATAGGAAGATGTTGATCAGTAAGCTATCTTTATGTTTGTCCCGAAAATAGTTGAAATGAAAGAATCAGGATGTATGGATAACTGACGATCGATCATTTTTTTTGGGGGGGGGGGATGTTTTTTCAGGAAACAAGTTCCACCAGGTCTTAGCCGACAGCGTACTAAGCACCACTCGCCGCCCATGGCTCACGCCATCCACCACGACGCGGGCCTTGACGACGGACAGCCCAGCACCATCAACGAGGACGCTCACTGACCGGCCGACGCCGAGCTCATCATCGACCAGTCGCCTGCTGCCGGTCCGGCCGTCGACCTCCAAGCACCCGCGGCCGAGTGCCGCCAACCCGAACCAGACTCTCGCCGTCGCCGCCTTGCTCTCTCGATCCCCGCTGCTCCTGCGCCCATTGTCGGAGTTCGAGGATGCGTATTATCTCTACCAACGCGAGCTCAATCAGGCGCTCTCGAAACCGATAAGGTCCTCCTTCTTCTTCAGACCCGGCTCCCATGCCGCTAAAGCTTTCGAACTCGCAAACCTCTCTCAGAGCGCTCTCGAGCTGCCCAGTCCGACCCCTTCTTCTTCTTCTGATGATGATGACTTACTCCACAAGAACCCTGGCTCAACGACCCTCTCACTTCACAATCTCGAACGTCATCCACATCAAGTCATTTATCTCTTCATCAAACAACTCTCTCAATGGCAACTTCGTCAGTCCTTTCTTTCTTTCTTTCTTATGCTTCGTTGATCAAGCTTTTGTACGGATTGGCGATCTTAAGCTTGGATCCTTAATCTCCCAAATTTATCATTTAGCAACCACTCGAATCCTGGGCTCAGATACTCTAACCCAAGCTTCATTACGCGCAGTCCATCAGAGCTTAGGGCCCAACATGGACATCTGGTCTGTTGGAAAAGTACCTGCAACGGTCTACACTCCATCCTCCTCACCAGTTTCGTACTCCTTCTACCTTCTTTCTTCCTCTGTTCACTTGGACTTGAACAGCAAACCGATTGCCCTTGTTTCTGACTTGTTTTTATGTATATATATCAAATATCTAGGGATCCAAATACGATAAGGTTTGGGTGATGCCACAGCGGATCCTTCGAGGAAAGCCAGACCTCTCTTTCCGTCCCTCCTCCTCATCATCATCAATCAACACTTCTTCTACTTCGCCTCGGACGACCCTGCAATCAGATGGAAACGCCCAAGAGGATCCGGTCGAAGACTTCGCGTGGTTCACGGCAGACGAGATCCGCGAAAGAGTCGAGCCGTCCGTCTGGGACGCTTTGGAACCCGTCCTCAAATAACCTTCTCTGTCCTTCTCCTTCTTTTTCGTTCATTCCTCCTTTGCATATAATACCTGTTCAAAATTTCACATCTTTTCAAACATTTTCCCTTTTCCTTTTTTTCATAAAAAATGGCATTATTTTTTTTTTTCTGTCATGAATCGATTTAACAAGAAAGGGGGGGGGGGCATGGATCAAGCGGCTCTTGCGCCTATCAGTTAGTCGATAAATTCCGCTGCTTTTGTATACATCATTAAATGTACTGGGGTCGAGAACACTGTGTATGCCTTGGACTACACCCATCTTGAAGCAAGGAGCGCAGATAAACAGGCTTGCCTGATGGGTCTTGTGGATAACAGATCGAAAGACATGCTATACCGCTCATGATGGAATCATCGAGTTGGGTATATAGACAAAGAATCCAAAAAAAAAAAAAAAACAGACATGATGGAGAGAGTGAATGATATATGTGATTGAAGAATGAAGTGAATGTGCAAGCTGAGGCCACAAATGCAGCCGATCGTTATTTCCGCTTATTACCCGCGACAGTCGACGAGACTTTTCCATCAACACTCAAGACCTAAAAACAACACACAAGTCACAATCTTCTCTCCTTGTGTGGACAGAGGTTTGTGTTTGGAAGCGTTGGACGGGAGAAAAAAAAGAGGGGGCGGGGACTGACTGCTGAAAAGGCTTCTTGCGGGATCTCCACTTTGCCGATGCTTAACGACCGCAGCTTCTTCTTGCCTTCTTTTTGTTTCTGTAAATGTTTCATCTGGGGATCCCACAACCAAACAAGGAAAACGTTAATGATTTGTTGGATAGGAATGAAAAGATGATAAGGGCGGGGGGGCGGGGGGGCGGGGGGAAACGGGGTGTGGATTCGAGAAATTCATGGGGACTCCCGACTCACTTTTCGCTCATAATGTCCTCCATCTGCAAGAACCAAAACCAACCAAAGAAAAAAAAAGGATAAGAAATCTATCGAAATGGTCCATGAACCATCCTCAAAGAAAGATCGTACATAGTCCAGCAGTCACGTCTTTTCTAACGGCAGTGATCCTGTGATTAAAAAAAAAAAAGAAAGCATGATCAACAAGAACGAAACTGAAGAAACAATCGAAGCGAAGCGGGAGTGAGGAACCTTTCGCTCGCGATGATTTTCGAGCCGATGGTAGCTTGCAACGCGATTTCGAACTGTTGTCTGGGGATGACTGATTTGAGACGAGCGAGGACGGCTCTAGCTTCTCGAAGGGCATGATCGCGATGGACGACGGTCGCGAAGGCGTCGATGGGCGAGCTCTTATTGACGACGATGTCGACTCTGACGAGGTCTGCCTCGACAAAGCCTTCATGTCCCTCCGGGGTCTCGTAGTCAAAGGTCGCATAGCCCGAGGAGAGAGACTTCAGGGTGGAGTGGAACGTCGTGACGATCTCGGAGAGCGGGATCTTGTATCGGATCTCCACCCAGCGCTCGTCCCCTTCCAACACCACCTCGCCCCCCTTCTTCGAAGCCTCTGACGATGGTGCCGCTATGTATTCAAACGTCTGTTGGATCCCCCGATGTGACTATCGTGCACACTCTCGTTAGTAGCTTCTTCCCCCCTCCCCCAAGAGGCTTAAGGGAATATCTACTCAACTGAACATAGCTCCATAACCGGCCCGGTGAATCGATCCGGCACAATTATGGTCCCGTCAATGATTCGCTCAAAGACTTTGACTCCATCAGCCCGATTACGAACATTCGGGAAATCGACAGGCTTCTCGATCATCGACGTCTTGCCTTTACTAATCACTATCCTCACCGCCACAAACACCAGCAACAAGAACAACAAAAAGCCAAAAAAATCCTTTTGGGTCCATGGTATGTTTCATTATATTTTGTTTGATCTTCGATCGAGACCCGATCAAGACTGGGATATATGGAAAGAAGTGGGCTAGAGACGAACGTTGGAGCGGGACAAAGGGCCGCGTGATGATCACCTCACTTGCATATTCATCATTCAATCGTTGCCGGAAAACGTCCATGTGGAGTGTGCCCAAAAAGCCCAATCTAGAATCAAGAAGAACAAACTAAGCCAAAAATTTACGTGGAACAAGGAGTTCATAGACGGACCGGAAACCTTGGCCGAGGGCCACACTGGACTCCTTATTGACAGTCACGCTCCGATCATTCAACACAAGCTATTCAAATATTATCACATCACCCCATCCATCGAAATGGTCAATCTCGTTTGACTTTTTTTATTGAATATGGTAAGAGGGTAAGGAGAAAAAAAAGGTACTCGTTGGATCGCGTCGGCTAGACGATCGAAGGCATTGCTGTCGATCGGATACAGGCCGGCAAAGACCATCGATTGGCGGGTCTCGATGCTTTGGTTCACCGGCTCGATTTCCGTCAATGGTGTCTTGGCTGCATAGAATGTATCTCCTAGGATTGCTGTTCAGATCCATCAAACAAATTGTGTGAGTATCATCGCAGAGGTATACTTTTGGTTAGGGAATTTTTGGGAGTTATTTTACCTTCCTTGGCATTCTTCATCGCACAGGTCAACCATCCACATTGGCCGGCATGGAGGCCTGAGGGCAGGGACAGCTGATGAGGGTGCATAATTCCACAGTCGGCAACTGAAATGTCATGCAGCATACGCAATAACAAAATTCGATAAATGCATTTGCAAAAAAAAAAAAATACTTGGAGGAATTGAAATTTGATTAGAATTATTCGGTACCTTGAAAGGTCTTGCCGGTCTTGAAAGACTTGATCTTATCCCCTGCAATGATCTAAGGAATCAGAAGTGCCACAAATGTGAAGGAAGAAGGCGAAGTATACCCTTTTGGATTTTTCCATCGGCGATCGAGACGAGAGAGACGACGCCCTGAAAGTGATCGAACCAAGAATCGAAGACGAAAGCGCGGAGGGGACGGTTAGGGTCTGCGACAGGAGGGGGCAACTTGTTGACCAAAGCTTCCAACAAATGCTCGACTCCGAGCCCAGTTTTCGCGCTGATCTTGATGATTTCACCGGGAGCAGAGCCTTCGTTGGTGACCAATCTGCCTACTTGGAGGGCCACTTTCTCCGGCTCAGCCGACGGTAAATCGAGCTTATTGAGCACCGGAAGAATCGTCAGTCGACGGCGTCGCGCGGCTTGCAGGACCGCCAAGGTCTGCGCTTGGACTCCTTGGGTCGCATCCACCAGGAGGATCGCCCCTTGAGTGGCGGATAATGATCGCAGAACTTCGGTGGTGAAATCTACATGGCCGGGCGTATCAATCAAGTTGAGAAGGTAGGTAATTCCTGATGGGGAGGTGTAGAACATGCTGTTTGTTTGTTTTTTTCAAATAAAAACCAATCAAAGAAGAACACAGTAGATCAGTCTCTTCACAATTTCCGATCTAATATGCAAGAGAAATCATACTTACCTCACTGCAACCGCCTTGACGGTGATTCCTCGTTCTCGTTCGACAGCCAATTGGTCCAGTACCTGTTGGTTCCTGGTCGGAGCCTGGTTGGGGTTAGAGTGACCAGATGAAGACGAGGTCGAGGGTATAGGTTGTTGAGGAATGGTACGGGTGAGTTCGAGCAGTCTATCCGACAGCGTGGATTTTCCATGATCAATATCTGTTTTTTTTTTGTTTTTTTTTATGGATAAATACCATTTTTTTTGTTAGTACCTTCATCTCAAGATTAGAAATAAGAAATACGGCAGAATTACTGACGTGCTATGATGGAAAATGAGCGGATGAGGTCGGGTGTGAAGTTGGATAAGTTGATGGGCGTGGAGTGTTCGGAAGAGGCAGTGGAAACAGAGGAATGAAATTTGCGAAGGTCGTGTTCTTTGATCCTTCCTCGTATCCGTATTCCTATTCTTGTTGTCCTCGTTGTCGTTCTTATCATCTTATGCTTCCGCCGTGGTCTGACTCGAGAAGTGTGGAGTGGTGCTGAATCGCTGATATTAAGGAGAAGCAGCTGTCACAGCTCACTACACAGCCATGTCACACGCACCCAAACTCCATAATGCATATCCCATCCCAAGAACACCCCGCACATGCGCAAAGTAGACCCCTCCCACTGGTCCCAGAGGCAGCCGTATCAAGGACAAGCACCTCCCGGGCCGGTGTTCTCATGCTCAACCCCTCAAGCTGAGCGCTCAACTCGCCATGACTCACTACTTGACTCAGCTTCGTGTGGCTCTGGCTACTCGCACTGGAGTGAAAATTGGATGGGTGTGGGCGCAATGGCTAACTGTATGTGACGCGAATGAAAGATATCGCTATTTCTTTTGAATCCAGAGTTGCTTTCTCTCTTGATAACATCAGTGCCCCAAAGAGCTTCACACTTTATGATAGACTCATTGGCCACAATACTGGGAAGAAAAAAAACGTTTCAAGTTGATGGTTGGATGAATATCGATGTCGATTCGTTTGGTTGATTTTTATTTTCGTGCATAAAAACCATCAAAGAGCGTGCCATCGGATAATATCAGGCAGGAGGCTCCAAGTCATCACAATCCTGGCAGCCTTGCGCTGAAATTGTGTTATTCCATCAGTCTCTAGCACAGCTGAAAATCTGGTTGGCAACAGATCGAGGTGGGTGATGAGCTTACGCTGGTTGGCATGAGGTCCGTCCTTGTAGTATCCACCGTTGCAAATGAAGGAGCCATGACTGGTACCACAATCTAATAATTCCGGATTGCCGATCGAAAAAGTTCAGGTCATGGGAGCCAATCGTGTGTTATTTGAGCAACTGAGCGATTGGAAGACGTATGACTTACAACCATCTGTGTATTGCGTGTCACATAATTCAGTGGTACGTTTGCCATTTACATTGTCCCTTGGCCGGCAGGATTTTGCCCCTGTTTGTAGGTTGGACAGAGTGCTTTCATCATGAGTGCCCAGGAAACTCAACCCTACAAAACGGGAGCAGGAGCAAGCACTTACAAAATAGTCCGCATGTCTTGCATTGGACACTGCCGCCGTCATTTTTGTCGACCGCTATCGTTACAGTTAAGTCCGTCAGTATATCGTTTGCTTCCCCTCACTTCTAACGTAGCTTTGATGTGGCTCACAAAAACCTTGGTCATTTTTCCTGTAGCCCTTGGGGTTGTCGATATATCACTATAGCTGGGAATAACTCCTTCAGCGCTCGAGAGACCGGATATGCCGAGAATAATCAAACAAGCAAAAAATTTGTTCATTTTGTTTTGTGTCTGTTGTCTTTGGAGTCTAGAGTAGGGGGGGGGGGGCATCTGACTAGAATATGTCTCCTTATATGCACACGCAAGATGGTTGTGGATATGTGCCACACCAGCATGCGACGCTTAATATGCAACACTGCGAGCAAGCAAGCCTCAGGTTGCCCAAAACGCCCGGCCTCGACAGCCCTCACACCGCCTCAAACGAATTCTCGATCAAAGCCACCAGATGACGCGTTGTTCGCGCCGATACTTTGTATTACAACAGGCTGTGAGACCCACAACAGCTGAAAGCCTTTCGACAAACCAAAGGGTGTATCGGATCTTAATGATCCGATGCCCCTAGGCTTACATATCCTTGTTCAACTTTGAACTGTGAGCCAGACCGACTGTGAATAAGTATGCATGATTCCATTGACTAACATGTATCCTCTCTGCACCGCCAAATGGTGCCCATTGGAGTAAAGGAGGGAGAGTATGCTGGGCTTGAGGATTCTATGTAGGACCGATTTTCTTTCAGATTCTTCCAAACGGAGCTATGGGAAGTATGGAACATTAGTAAAGCCTAAAATCCCCTTTCAAGGTCAGGATCCAGGGGGCAGAATGGGAATGGGACCAAAGATCTATTTTCTATCCAAAAGCTTCTTATGTTCCACTTCAGAAGTGTTGGCGTTTTTTTTTTTTTCAACTTGAAAACCTTCATAGGGCCAAATAATTATCATTTGGTTATTTATTGGGGGAGAGGGGGTTTTAAAAGACTGTCTTTGTGTAGAAACATTTGGTGCATTGGAGAAATAAGCAAAAGTTGAAGAGAAATTAACTGGGCTGAAACCTGATTGGAATCCAATGTACTGACATAAAAAACAGGCCAAAAGGCTAGGAGAAAACTGGGGCTATCAATCATCAATCCTTTTTTGTTTTTTGAAATTGACCAGTTCCAATGGAGCAAACTGATGTTCCTAAGAATAGATTATTCAGGATTAATTATCAAACCACATATGGGTTGACGCTGAGAGTTGTTTACCTTTCGCACTCAAAATGTTCAATTTTCTCCTCAATGTGAAATCCAGAAAAACCCTGGATTTTGTTTATTTGATTCTATGCTATGTCATAGTTTACTTATCTAGCTTTGTAAACTGAATGTGGAAAGGGGGTAAGGAAAAAAGTACTCGTTAGATTCTATCCGCAAAAGCATTACTATCAATCTTATAGAGGCCGGCAAACACCATCGATTGGCGGGTCTCGATGCTTTGGTTCACCGGCTCGATTTTTGTGAATGGTGTCTTGGCTGTATAAAATGTAGCCCCTATAATCGGAGACTTATACGTTTGGTTGGTGGGAGGCTTCGCGCCAGTATGGCTGTACCAGGCCCTCCCATTAAAGGGGTTATTGCGTCTAGCTAGGGTAATAACCACCCTCATTCTCGAAAAATGGAGGGAAAGTGTTTCCATGCTCAAACAAGAAAACGGATACCACACAGTGCGACCCAACGCTGAACGCTCAGCCCGCATATCCGTTGAATCAAGACTTGACTCAGCTCCGTGTGACTCTGGCTGTCAGCACTGGTGTGAAATTTGTGTGCGAATGGGTCTTCTTACAGGAAAAAAATGCTATTTTTTTCAATCCAGAGTTGTTTGATCTCATGTTGACTTTTTACACAAACTGGATTGTTTTACGGACTTGGTAAAATCTAGCCTGTGCTGTTTCTCTATATCTTAGTAAATAAGATAACTATCTTTTGAGGAACTCGATTGATGGCGACAACATCCAGCAAAGACAAAAGTGCGGAAAAATCAGGGTTAGATCGAGATTGTTTGCTTTGATCGATTTTTCTTTCCGTTCATATAAATCAAATCATGCAAGAGGGTGCGATCAAATGATCCAGCTTTCATTATAAAGGAGGGTCTTCCGCGCCACAGCCCTGGCAGCCTGGCACTGAAATTGTGTTATTTCATCAGTCTATACAATAGCTCAACTAAATGATTCATGTTAAAAAAGGGTAGGTGAGGTGAACTTACTCTGGCCAGGGCTTCGTTTTTCAGTGTGTCCTTTGTCACACAGGTAACTGTCTTGGTCAGTGTAACATCCTGTTGTCAGATTGAGAATAGAAAAGTTCAGTTTAAGAAAGAAAACCACTTGTCATTTGACTTTTGATCCACTGAGGGATTGGAAGAGGTATGACTTACGACCACTGGATGGACCTGTAAAGATGTATGACTTGGTGCATAATTGAGAGGTACGTGGGGCCTGAACGTTATTCAGAGGGTGGCAGCCAGATGCATCTGTTTTTTAGATTAAGCGGGGTGCTTTTTAAGAGTCTAGAAAACCAACACAAGCAAACAGGAGCAGGAACGAGCACTTACTGAATAGACGGCAAGCAGCGCATTGGACAGTAGTGCCCTCCTGGGTGTCAGCGGCTATGGTTAAAATGTCAGGGTGTCAGTGTGGCTTTCCTTTTGTCAGGTCTCTGAGATGTGATTTTTGCTCACAAAACTGGCCGTTGCGTATGGTGTAGCCCTTTGGGTTCTGGATATCTGCAGCATGAGAGAAACCAAATACGCTGAGGATAATCAAACAGGTAGAAAGTGTGTTCATTTTGTGTTGGCTATGGTGTCTTTGGTTGTGCGTGACAGTGACACCATTGTAACACTACGAGCAAACAAGCCCCATGATGTCAAACTTGACCATGCGCCCAACAAGGTGTTCACCACCCTTGAAGGACCTCTCTCATGCCGCTCGGAGAGGTCCTTCGAGGACGGTATATGTCGTCTAAATGGGTGGCGCACAACAACCCTCACACCGCCTCAATACATTCTCAATCAAAGCTACCAAAGGAAGTGTGGTTCAGGCTATACATATTGTAGGACCCTGGAGATAAGGCATGGTCCCGGGGTTCGGGACGGGGCTGGAGGGTCATCCCAAGGAACGAACCCCGGGAATTCCGGGTCTGCCCCAAAGCCCCGGGGCTCCCAGCCTATTTTTGAAAAAAAATTGAGGCAGAGTTAGCCAATAGCTAGTGATCCACCTCGAGCACCACTCAATACCATAAACCCCAACAATGAAGCAAAACCAACGACCACCCAAATCACCACCATCAAATCAAACCCGAGAAGTTATTGACTTGGATGAAATCAAGAGTCTTGAGACCAACCAAGGTGGGTTGGCATCTGTGTCAGGGAGTTGTCTCATGGCAGCGATCGTCTCTCAAGCCTGCAACAATTGAGGGTCTGCTTTGCTTGAAGAACTGGTTTCAGTCCTTCGATGGCCCCTTCTAACTGGTTTTGATCTCTTTTGCTTACTTTTTCCTCTCTTTTCCCTGAAAAAAAACTTGTAATACACTATAAACAAGTCAAAGAAGATGAAAAGAAACTTGTAATACACGATAAACAAGTCAAAATAGCCAGTAATCAAACATTTCTGCTACTGCTAGAAAATCCCGGGGTTTCGGGGTTTACCGAGACCCAATCCCGAGTCCCACTTTCCGGGGTTCTCCAGGGTTTGGAACCGGGGCTGCCCCGGGATCCCGAGCTTCGGGACCATGCCTTACCTGGAGACCCCTTATATATGTGAGTAACCTAAATGTATGAATTTTTTTGGCCAAAACCCCAAATGGTACACACCAAAAATGTATGAATGGGCTTGTTTATCAGGAATCATACTAGCCTCAAATGTATTAACTTTCCCTGAAAAAGTGAGGGTAGTAACTAAAAATGTATGACAATCCTGAGTTTTCTTTTTTCTTTTTTTTTTGCACCCCCCCCCCCCCCCTCAGCAGCCCCCAGGCTTTTTTTGGCACCCTGCCCCCCCCTGGCAGCCCCCAACTTTTTTTTTTACTCTTTTTGCACCCCCCCCCCCCTTGGTTATAGTGGTGTTCTCATGTCTGCCCACCCCTTGGACGCTAGCAGAGATTACTTCCTTCATAAAATCAGGTTTTGTGCCTCAGTCAAAAAAAATGGTACTAACAAAGAATGTATTAATTTTTTCAAAAACCTTTGAGCATACACACAAGACACGTATGAATGGGATTCAAAAATGTATGAATTTTGGCAAAATCCGGGTTTTTAGGTCACTCACATATATAAGGGGTCTCCAGGGTCCTCATATTGTCTTTTCAGAGAAGCTTGGAACCATGATCAAAAAAAATTGTTTTGGCAGATCCCATGCCTTGGATATAAAACTTTGATTTTACAGGTTTGGGTTTGGACAGGTATGTGATCCAACCCAAGACCTGACACTGCAATCCAGCCTTAGTTTCATTCTAAGAAGAGCTCTGGCAAAATGAAGCTCATATTTGGAATCAGGGTGCAAATTTTACCCTGATTCCACCATCTACTCAGCCATCCCATGCTACATCCGACCAGGCTGGGAGGGGAGTTCATGGCCCATTGGGTTGCTGGATAGGGGCAGGGAGGGAGAAGCAAAAGGTGAGATACATATGACGGAATCCGTGAAAAAAAGAAGATAAAACAGACCTTTTAATGCATAACAAAAATAAAAAAACTCGAGAGGCTCCAAGCTTCTCTGAAAAGACAATATATTGATGTAATACATCATTGTACAGTCACCTAACAGATGTTTATAGCCGGTTTGTTTGGATTACATAACTTCAACCCACCAGCTTGAAATAATGATATTTTGCAAGTGGTATAAAATGGGTTTCAAAAAATGATTCTGAGAATAAAAGTATGGAAATCTGATTTTCAAAATTTACAAAAAACATTACAGTTACTGCACTTTTTTCAGAAGTTTTAATATTGCTCAAAATGAGAAAATTAAAATTGGAAAGATTTGTATGTTATGCAAGAAGAATGATAATAAATGAAAAAATCAACTCCAGAAATCATTCAGAGCTCAGTATCCAGGTCAAAATGCAAGTTGAATTTGATCACAATGCCTTTTCCACTGTATTTTTGTTGAAATTCTGTGACTCAATCCCAACACTGCATAAACTAAGTGGTCGGAAAAGCCAGTGCAACGATTCTTTGAACAGACTTTGTCCGACAAGTTCAGCAGCCCAGGGAACATGTGACAATCATTACAAGAGAAGGAACAATCATTATGGATGAGGTGTGGTATATACGGACAGGATTACATACAATGAGTGGATTGGGAGAACATATCTCAACCAGGAATGGAACAAAGGAGCGGTTTGCATACGAGGATTGGAGTGGGAGATCATATCTCAACCAGGAATGGAACGGAGGAACGGAAGTATATAAGTGGAGAGGAGTGGGAGAACATGTCTCGACCAGGAATGGAACGGAGGAGCGGTGTGTAATAAGGGTACTTTATGTTTTACGTAAGGGTACAGGGTACGGATTGTGGAAAGTGAAGGGAGGAAGGAAGGAGTGAGGAGAGGCTTTGACCCCCAAACTCTGGATGGAAGGAGATAACAGCAGGTCTGGCAGACTGGTACTGCCTATGCAGAGTGTTCTGGAAGATGGCTTGGTTACCTGGCAACACATGACATCATGCTGCACTTGGTTCTGGAAGATGACTTGGTTGCCTGGCAATGCATGACATCATGCTGCACTTGTGTGCTCCCTTGCATGCATATTATGTGACAAGGTCTGGAGTTAAGTGTTCCTAGCACAGCATAAGCTGCGCTAATTGTTTGGAGGCTTTGCGCAAAGGCTGTGCAGGTGAGATCCCCTGCAGCAATATTCCCTCACAAGGAGTCCCCTGCAGCAGAAATCCCTCACTCTTCAATATAAAAGAAGGACCTCTCACCACCAGAAAGTCTCTTCTCCCCATCAGCCTACAGAAGTCTCTCAGAGCAGTAAGTTGGTCCTGAGCTACTGGAAGTTTTCCGGAGTGTCAGTAAAGTGAAGAGTTAGAATTAGTGATAGTTAGTTAGTGAAGATAGTACATCAACCTACAGCGGTAAGTTGGTCATAGTTAGTCAGTACTTAATTAGTGAGTGAGTTAGTGATAAGTAGTGAATTAGTACAGTATTGTAAGCGTGAAACCAACAAAGAGTTCGGAATTCGAAGCATATTAGTAGTAGTAGTCATCATATAAGTAGTAGTACATTAACAATTAACCAATAACAAGTAGTAGTAGCATTAGTACCAGAGCTCTAGTTTTTGATTAAAGTGCCTTAGCAAGAAATTGTTCGAGGAAGAGATCATTAACAAACTCTATAACAACTCATCTGTTTCGTGCTCAAGTCATCAGCACCACAGTTTCCATTATCAACCTGAAGTTGTAACAGATTCATTAGTAGATTGATACGTGATCTAGGTCTGATAGAGATTACTTTACAAAAGTAAGATCTATCTTGGAATCAGCCATACATTATTAAATATTGATTACAAGACTCTTAGTTATTTTTTTAGTACATTTAGAGGGGCAGGTCTTTCAAACCACCCTTAAGTTGTAATAGCCTTTCAACCTATTTGCAATTTATTTCCCCCTCAAGGGATCTTTTGATATACATATACTTTACCGTGTCTATCCGTCCCAGGAGTCCTACACCGGTCATCAAGACCATTTGATGACCGGAATGAATTCCCTCCGGTCATTGAGGCTGTACAGTCTCAATGACCGGAAGGGATCCCTTCCGGTCATCAAGACCATTTGATGACCGGAAAGGACTCCTTCCGGTGTGGTAAGCCAATCTTGAATAAGAGGCCCACAAAATCAAAGCATCAAGCACAATATCAAGCCCTCTGAATGACAAGACCCTCAATGATCAAGACCCTTCTGGATTATTCAACCAACCTGCAACACCATGGATGTCACAAGACCAAGCCCCCTGGACAGAAGACACTCTGGATTCTCATTTCATTTCATTATTACATAAGCATCTCATGCAGTCTTACATCATCAATCCCCATTCAGCCTTCCACACTTGGCCTCTGCATGTGTTTCATTCTATTCCACTTTCACTCTAGCCTCATTTCCACCTTGGGCCACATTTCACTGTTTCACACTATTCCTCTTGGGTTATCTGCATGTCTCACACTAGTACACATTTGGCTAGTTCATTTATCTCTTTGATATATTCTTCCTCCCTCATTGGTTGTGGCACATTTCATCCCTGCATGTCTCTGATGTCATTTTCCCCATTTATCTTAGTGCCTACCAATTGGGCCACATTGTTTCAGTTTGATAATTTTCTCTTGTTCCATTTTGTTCCATGGTGTTTCCAACCACAAGCTGGCCACTCCCCAGATTTTGTATATAAGGAGCCTTGTTTTCCCCTCTTCATTTGTTGATCATCAGATCCTGCCCCAGCAATCCAGATAACTGATCACCCTTCATTAGCCTAGTAGTTGCCCATCAACATTTGGGATACTAGTATTATTCAGACAGAAGACCAGAAGACAGAAGACATACCCATCTCAAGAATCAGCGGTGGGCCGCTACGCTACGCTACGCTTTTGGCCCAAAAAGCGTAGCGTAGCGGCGCTTTTTTTTCATTGAAAAACCGTAGTGTTAGCGGTTTTTTAGCGGGTTTTCGCTACGCTACGCTGCGCTACAGCGCTTTTAGCGGAAAAAGCGGCCAAAAACCGCTAAAAACTGCTGTAGCGCAGCGTAGTGGGCCCTTTTTTGCGGCCCACACGCGTAGCGTTAGCGGTGTCGTGGCGGAA